GTTAGAGTTCTAAACAGGCTCTTGCTTTACTTTTTTGCAGGTGCTGTTCTATCATCATCATCTTCATCTTCTGTCACATCGGATGTGTAATGAAGAGATCTTCATTACTGATCTTCATTACTGGGACTATTTTACATATATAGCACTGTGTGGCACTTAAAAAGGTATTTTTGCACTGTATTAACAAACACTTTATTTAGCATTTGCACTTTAAGCAGAGATTTGCACAACAATAAATTTGCACACAAGAAGTTTTGATTATATTTATTGAGCATTTTTATGTAGCTTTTGTTTTGGGCTCTGCACAGCTGCTCTTCATTGATGGGTGAGGTTGGTTGCTGTTGCCTGTGGAGGAGCATAATTATTACTCAGAGCAATGAGCTAATGGTGAGGAAAAACTAAGAAAATGTGTGCATAATCTGTTGAGTGTGGAGTGCTGTGGTAAAGTGACTCACCTGTCTTTTCTGTGTCCTCTCCAGGGTGTTTTGGACAAATTCTACCCCGGGGGTCTAGACGCCATATATAGATTCTGGGAGAGGCCATTGAAAGGACTAGGGGGGGAATTGTTTGTGGGTTTTGTAGTGTTTATTTAAGGTGTAATGATAAAATAGAAAATATTTATAAAAAGTCAATGGAAGTAGTGTATTTAAGAAAATGTATTTTAGGTAAATAGGTGGAGATTGATTAAGAGATCCCCCTGTGAATTTAATATGGTTTGGTACATCACAGCTGGGAATATTTAAGACTGCAGTTTCAGCTGTGAAAGTGTTGTTGATGATGAGTGAAAAATAAACTGCTGCTGTTCTCCACCTGACTCTGGCTCAAGACTCCTGCTCACTAACAACAAATCCAACCGCTAAAGGCTGTCCTGTTACAGATACAATAACAATAAACAGTTCCTATCTTTGTTTATTTTGGCTGTGAACTTCTAATCATTTCCTACTGACATTTTCACTTTACCTCTTATGATTTATTATGTCAGCTAACAATTAACATAAATTAACATTAAGATAAATTATGGCATAACAAAAGTCAGCTACATTTTGTTGTCTGGCATCATGGCTTTCCAGAGATAGAATTTTTGACTGCTCCCCTGACAGTTAACAGATATGCCGAACTTGTGCATGTGTGATAGAATATCTCCCTTGTTGAGTTTTGACAACCTACCCTTAAACAAACCAACAGATGTGCTGCATAAAGCAGAATTTTCCCATCACAAACAATTGAGCCCTTTTTATTACATCTGGACAAAGTTTGGGAAGGGTAACATCCCACAGGTAAAATGTTATATTTAAAACCTTAAACTCTGACAAGGAAATTTGGGGGAAAATTCTTGAAACATTTACTTAGATTTTGATAGGCAACTTATTACTTTAAATAGCCACCTTAATCCCTTTTTTTCAGAGTTCCACAACAGTGGAACTCCACCCTCCACCAATTTCAAAACTAAATAATGTCCATGACCCATACATTAGACTCCAAAACCTTGTTCATTTCAGCACTGAAATCTGGATAGCTATCATAATGGATTGATAGTACAAGGACACACAGATGTGTGAGCCACAGGTCTTCTGAGAAACCCTTGAATCTTTGTGAAATCAATAATAATTTTCTTATCCAGGAACAGGTCTGAACCTGTGCAGAACCTTAGAAACAAGGACAGATGTTGCAAATCTGCATTCCTGATATATGTGCTGACGTACTTTTGAATGTCCTTCTGATGGACATTTATTTCCTCAGGAAAAACAATGGACTTCAAAACTTTTCTTGCATTTGGTTGCAAGTTTTCATACACTGAAGAAAGGTCCGGGAAGCTGTTCCCGGTGATACTGAGTGTTTTGGCCCACTGTTCAATAACGTAAGCAGGCTCTTGGACAAGTGTTTTGTGTGCAAGCTCTTGGAGGATTTCGTTTACATTGCTGGCAGTGGGCATTCGTCTGCAACTGTGGTTATCAAGAATCTCCATCAATTCCTCTTTGTCAACACTGCTGAAGTCTGACTGCCATGACTGAAACACAAAGCACTCAGATTCAGACATGCACTTAAGGAAATTCTCCACCACCTCACTTTTTACCTGTCCAAAGGCAGCTTGCTCTAGTATGACAGGTGCAATCTTCATAGGAAGATATTTCTCTTTTGTCCATCCAAAAACAATTATTCGGCCTACACTCTCCCACTGCTGCTGTCCATAATCATGTCTCAGAAAAGGCACTTTGTAAGTGTTTCCTGTAGTACACTGGTCATAGAATTCTTTCCAGAATTCAGAATGTAGGGAAATCTGTTTAATTTAATGTAAATTAATGTTAAGTTCAT